AAAAAAAAAAAAAAAAAAAAAAATTGTATTTTAGTAAAACATCCATTTCTCTAAAACCAGAAAAAGCCCTTTTCCTTTTTAATTTCTTTTCTCTTTCATTGTATCTGTAAAAACTAGTGTCAGGTTCTGTTAATCATGCCTCCTAAAATACTTACAATGGATTGCACATTCTTTTTTTTAACTGGAAGAGAGTGCTACAGGCATTTATTTACATTTTCTTAATATGAATCGGTGTTCTCACATTACATTTACATTTTTCACCAGCCTCAAAAGTAATATAACTAAAAAATAGATGTTTACCATTTGGCACCTGGCACTCGTAAGAGGGAGTGGGTTGCAGGCAGCAGCCAGCACGCATCGCTTACAGGTGCGTGGCTCGCAGCAGAGCTGAGTGGATTGCACATTCTTTACTATCACTTGGAGAAGACCAAGTACACTCACTCACAGACTATAACAGTTCTTTCCACTGCAGAGAACAAGTGCATATAAGCACTGGTAATCTAGGGAGTATACTCATTGCTAAAACTACAAGAGTACCTCTTTACAACAAAATTCAAAGTTATCCCACATGATGTGCCACTCCCTGCCCAGTCCAAGCGCAGTGGCACTGCCTGTAATCCCAGTGCTAGGAAGGATAAAAACAGAAGGATCATTACAAGTCCAAAATGCATAGTGAGACCCTGTACCAAATACATTATGTACCAAATACCCTGTACATAAAAAAAAAAAAAAAAAAAAATCTGATATGGAATAGCGATGGATAGCAAGTACCTAAATAGTGAAGCACTTGCATAGAATGTGCAAGGCCCAGATTTCATAGGTGATAGGGAGTATTGGTTGGTGTGCAGAATATAAGCATCTTAAGACAATAAATAACAAAATGGTAAATTTAATAAAGCTATGTTGTTTCATTGTGCTGCGAGCTTTCCAAGAAGAACTGAAGACCCTGGCAAGTGCAGCGGTCTGAGTTCAATCCCCATTTCTGCAAAAAAAAAAAAAAAAAAAAAAACAACTGAAGAGAGGCTTTACATGTTTATGTAAGAGGAATATAAATACAATATCTTAACAAAAATAAAATGTCGGACCCAGGAGATAGCTCAGTAAAATAAGTGCCTGCCTGGCAAGCTCAGGGTCCTGAGTTCAATCTGCAGTACTACAAATAAATACATATAAATAAATGTCTTAAAGTTACAAAAGCTCTTTTCCCTCAAACCCTTCCCACCCATCCATCCCACAAACAGGGGACTAAGTGCAGTGGTGCTCTACCACTGAGCTATAATCCCTAATTTAAAAAAAAAAAAAAAAAAAATTATGTATTTGGTACAGGGTCTTGCTATGCAGCTCAGACTCTTACTGCTCCTCTTGTCTCTGCCTCCCCAGCATTGGGACTACAGGTGTGTGCCACTCTGGGGGTTGGCACTGCAGTGCCAGGGATCAAACTCAGGTCTCTGTGCTTTCCAGGCAGGTGCTTAGACCACCGCGCTATCTTCCCAGGCCTGTAATCCCTAATTTTTAACTTTTTACCTTCAAGCAGGGTCTCACTACATTGCCTTAAACTTTTGATCTGGAGCCGGGGAGATGGCTCAGTGGAATAAGCACTTCCCTGGCAAGCACAAGGGCCTGAGTTCAATCCCCGGTTCTGAGAAAAATCACTAGAGTCCAATCTAGTAGTGAGACC